CTCAAGGTATTTTGAAAAAATATATATTTCTTTTACCTTTAATTCGCATAGTTGCTTGAATTAATGTATCTATTTTAGTAATAATAATAATACTCCTGGCTTCGGAGGGAGTGTTGGCGGCTTTGGAAGTACATCGGTTACTCCAGCACCTACTACGTATGATATACATACAGTTTTTCTGTTTTTTTTTTTTATTTTTTTATTTTTGATTTTTTTTTTTTAATTAAGCATTTTTTTTTATAATATAAGTAAACCGCCTAGCACCACATCAAGTCCACTATGGAGTTCATTTCGTGGTTAAACTATGGTATTAGCAACGCATCACAAAGAATATATATCTTGAAGTTTATTAATATAGATTTAATATATATACATATTACACGAATAAATATCATAAAATTATATAATATTGTTTCCTAATTTTCCTAATTATGTGAAGGTTGGTGAGTTAGTATTAGGATGTGAACGAGGAATTTTTTTTTAAATTTTTTTTTTTTTTATTTAAATATCAAAAATAAATATTTGCTCCAATAATCGACTTGACTCTTAAACTCTCAGAAACTATGTATATAACGTTATTTCGTTTAAAATGTACATGTATAAACGTGATTTTTTTTTTTTCATTTTAGATCAAAAATATATTTATTTCAACTTTTCATAACAGTTTCTTTTAGGCGGTTTTATTAACTCGCATCAAAATGATTTAACAACCTAAAATTCTAATAATTGATTCAATAAGTAGCTCTGTATTAACCAACATATGGCCAATAAGATTGTTGAAGACCAGAAATTTTGATGTAATGAATGGTTCAGATTCTTTTGATTTTATAAAGTAAAAATCGGATCAAGTTAATTTTAAAGCTAAAGCAAATGCTGTTTTAAATTCAAAGATTGAAGTATCGCTTGCAATTTGTTTTGTTTTCAACGAATTCTGTAAATTCATCAAATGTTTTAAATTGTAAGTCAATATTTAATTTTAATAATTTGTAAATTTTTGAATTGAATCTTG